GAATTCTCACTTTAGTGAATAACCCTTTCAGCATTCTGCCTTGGTGAGTGTTAGCAAGCTCACTGAAGCATTGTTTACCGTTACACTCTCTCTGCACATATAATTCAGGTCAGGGCCATCTTTAACGTAGGGTAAACGTGGCAGCTGCCTCGTGGCCAGTTACTCCTGGGGGCCCCAGATCAGCTGCCCTCCACTTTTAATTTATCTTCCCCATAGGCCCGCAATTGCAACTGGGCACCTGCACCCTAAGGAGGCCCACTGGCATGCTTTTTGGCATTCTGGGAGGAAGTGACGGCTGTGAGTCACTTCCTCCCATGAAGGAGAAGAGGAGCTGTGCGGGAGAAAGAGAGGAGGGGGGCTGGGCCGAGAGAGCCAAACCCCAACTCTCGGCAGCATCAGCCACCAGTGTGGACAGTGAGGCAAATTAATTTTTTCTTGATGATTTATTTTCTGATTTGTGTATATGAATTTTATCTTGATTAATTATTATTGGCTTTAGAATTTATGTATATGTTGCACAGGATATGAATTAAATTTTTTACAGAATCACTGTACATAATATGAATTTGGGTTTCCTATTTATGAAGTATTCGTGTATATAACATGAAAAAAATAATTCTATTTGAGAAAAGTATGAAGAGATGCACTAAATGATTACCTTTATTCCTGTATATAACAGACATTTTTTTTTAATCTTTTTTTGAGCAGTAGCTTGGAGTGTGTGTCAGTATGTCTGTAAGTGTATGTGTCTGTCTGTGTTAGTATGTCTGTCAGTGTATGTGTATGCCAGTATGTCTGTAAGTGTATGTCTCTGTGTGTCAGTATGTCTGTCAGTGTGTGTGTCTGTCTGTGTGTGTCAGTATGCCTGTCAGTGTATGTGTATGCCAGTATGTCTGTCAGTGTATGTCTCTGTGTGTCAGTATGTCTGTCAGTGTGTGTGTGTCAGTATGTCTGTCAATGTACGTGTCACTATGTCTGCCAGTGTATGTGTCTGTGTGTGTCAGTATGTCTGTCACTGTATGTGTCTGTATGTACGTCAGTATGTCTGTCAGAATGCTGGTATATCAGATACCAATTAATATTTGGTTCCTCCCGAACTGCCAAGAGCTGAGTGATTATAGCTTGCAGTTCGGTTATCCAGATGAATATTCTCCAGCTAGAATCCAGCATACAAGAGATCTTCCCCAGCAGTCAGTCATATAACCAAACATCAGCCTTAACTAGATGAAGGGCACCACAGGAGTGATTTTATTCAGGCCAACTGGCTGGCTTTTTATGCAAGTCCCCAGGCACAGGGTTTACAATAATATATTCCAATGGGCATTACCCACTAGACCTGAGATGGCACAGGGACAAATTACATACAGTAGTTACATTGGCTCTCAGATCCAGGACACTCCCACATAGAATACAATAATCCTTCCCCTTCAAGTATTTTACTCAACTTCGTTATCTCCAAACACAAAAAACACATATTTTCACAAAACCCTGAAAGTGCCTTAAACCCCATGGGAACCCCACAAAAGTCATATCCTCTGATAGCCCTGATCTGGGGGACCAACATATCCAAAAATCCCCCAGATCAGTTTAGGGGTTCGTGAGTTCCACGAAACTCATAATTTGACCGACCGCACACAAGGCTCCTGCCCAGAAAGAGTTCCATGAAATCAGGCTGTGCGGTCGATCTCTTTCGGGAAGTCCAAAAACCGAACAAATCCATGAACAGTTCTCCTGGCTCATAGGTAGCGTTTGCTCTACTAATTCGTGGGAACAAACCTACCGAACAGCGCTCCCTTGGCTGGTCGATGAACAGAAGCAGGCGTTCACAAAGTTTGACCAGTGTTCGGGAAGTCGAGTGTCCGATTTTAGTTCCAGACACTCGACAACCAAGTCCCGCTGCCTCTGTTCATGCGACAAGATGGCAACACAGAGGGAGAACTTAATTCACTGTTTCCTTTGCAGTTAATGAGCCAGGGGGGTGGTCGTTTTGTTTGTCTGTATGACTATTGGTGTATCTGTATGTCTGTACCTGCATGTGTGTCTGTGTGTATATCTGTGTATCTGCAAGTGTTTCAGTTTATATCTGTGTGTGTGTACGGGTATCACAGTGTGTGTATGTTGCAGGGTATGTGTATATGTGCATATATCTCAACATTCAAACGCCAACACTACACACAAATACACTCCTGTATTCAAACTTCAACACTACATATAAACACACAACTGCATTGAAACGTTAACACTACATAGAAACACAATTCTGTATTTTACACCAAAATTAAATATCAATATCAATGCACCCCTGCATTTGAAAACAAACACTGCACATAAATGCATATTTGCATTCAGACGCCAGCACCACATACAAACACACCCCTACATTCACAAATGCATACTCTATACAAAAACATTCTTACATTCAGACACACAAACACTGCTCAGTGCTAAACACAACCCCGCAAGCATGGGAAAATGGTAGAGCCCCAGCTGTCAAAGCATTGTTAGAGTTGCACGACAGATAGGGATCTACCTTTTGGCCATTCTTGGTGGACCCCCGAAAAATCTCACATTAGGGCCCTTTCTACTTTATTTCGTCCACTGCATTGGAGTGGATGTCATGATTGCATGTCAGGGAGTTGGAGGGTGCAAGGTCCAGGACCAAGAAAATGGTTGCCCAGGTTCGGTTAATATTAAAGACGTCCCTGATTCAGGTGTGGGAGCACAATCACTGCTTCAATTAACATTCACACCTTCAATGACATACACTATGATGAGTAGATTAAACGAACACTCTGGTCACTATTACAACATTCAATGGGAAGCTACTAATTGGCTTAAAGTATGAGCTGACTGCTCCAGCCAGTCAGTGGTACCCCTGATGATGGCACTTGCGCTTCCTGCACTCAGTTTCAGAAGCCAAATAGTGCCTGTGAGACCTGGACAATGGCGCTGGAGGCCAGCTGTGAGGGGTTAAGCTATTTGAGAATGTTTTAACCCCTTAAGGTAAAAGAGCACGAGGGGGCCTCCTGGTACCATAACAACATCAGTTAGATGAAATTGTTATGGTGACTAGAGTGTTCCTTTAAAACACATTGGGGCACATGGAAAAGAAACATTCTTAAATCAAAATAGATCTGTTATTCGAGGGGTCTTCAATGTTTTTGCTTTTTCTTCTGTTATCACCCAGCCAATGACAGTGAAGTATTAAAAGAATATGCAGGTCTTATGGACAACTGTTTTTCTATGGTCTTCAACACATCTAAGAAATACTAAGGTCTAACACCTTATTAAAGAATATGAAAACATGGATAATTAGATCCATGCTTGGACAGTAGCATAGTCTAGCATGAAGATAAAAGGAAGGATTTCCCATAAAAATCTGCAATGTTTGGTAGGTACGAAAAAACACACACTTTTTTTTTTTAATACATTGTTAATATAACACTGAGTGATAGATAACAATACCTGTGCATTCAAAAATCATCAATCTTAACACCTACACTTTTTTCAGCCTCAATATCCAATTCATATCTCTCATATATTATGGAATGCTGCTATATCTGACTACACTAAAATTAAGCTTGGATGAACATCAATATATTCTTTAAATAACAATTCATAACCTTGAAAATGAAAATAAGATAACAACCTCTTTTGATTATATACAGATAAAGCCCACATAATAAAAATCAGGGTGTCATCATTATTCTTCAGACTGCATATCCCCATCCTAATTCTATGTTAATATGCTTCTGGTAACTGGGCATAAAAAGCTGTAAAATAGGCAGATTACCACATCACAAAGGATCACTGTTCATTTCTGTAGCAGCGCTATGAGAATCAGGCTAAAGCGACATATAATCTTTCTAAATTAAAAATGAACAACTCTTCTGGGCTTCTAATTAAGTGTGAAATTTTATCTTAACTCTGTTGCTGATTTTCGCATGTTTAATATAAACATTTATCAGGATGTAACTGCCTGCAGGGATAAGCAGTGATGCGATAAAAGGAGAGAAACACAATGACAAGGACTGGGGAATAAAACAAAGTTGATGTAAGTGTGACCCGAGCATTTTATTTACAAAATGCTAAAGCTGCCACGGTAGGAGTTTATTCTGCAGTAACATTCATCATATATGATGTGTGGAACTGTATCTGACTACTTATCCCATAAAGAGATACATACCTTGCAGGCCTATTGGATAAGATCAGACACTACAACTCAACCAAGAGGTGTCCTGGTCCTGTACACAACATTTTCACAAAATGTAAAAATGAACATCTTTTTCACATTAAATTTTGTTATTGTATTTTTTGCTTAGTTTTTCATGCATTACTTATGTTATGAGACAAATACATAAATAAACAGGAAAAATAATCCCAGTACTAAAAAGTCTTTAATAAAACCTGTAGAAATATTGGAGTATAGAGAGAGTCCAATAGGTAGCTGGGTCTTCTTATGTTGGAGGTGTCTCAATTCGGTAGTAGATATATGAACATGTAAGAAAAACAGAGAAACTCCAATAGTGCAGATTGTAAATCAGCAAATTGATAGATAAAAAATTATCATAGCAGATGATCCACTCACCTATTTCTGAGCATAAACTAGCTCAAGTGGTGATAGCGTCCAGTGGCGTTGATCCTCCACTGGTAGGATATAGGTGGTGAAAGTATGAAGAGCTCCTCGGTATATAGAGAGATGGAGAAACAATATAGTGCTCACTGAATAAGTGAAAAGGTAAAATAATAAGAGCAGTAAAATACTCACATGTATATGAGCAGGATATACTGCTCACTTTAGTGGCGTAGGTGGTATTATCCCCACCTAGGATTCTTGGACATATGCGTGTTCCGATGTAGCAGGTACCAGGTTTCAAAATAAAAAGTAAAATAGTATGATAAAAAGGTATATAAAGGCTAATAAAAGAGCCAATATTCCTTTATTGATAATAACAGAGTAAATATATCTATAACAAATATAAAAACAGCCAAAACGCGTTTCGCCTCACAGGGCTTTTTCAATTGTCAATAAGAAAAATTATTGCCAATTGAAAAAGCCCTGTGAGGCGAAACATCACTGGACTCTATTACCACTTGAGCTAGTTTATGCTCAGAAATAGGTGAGTGGATCATCTGCTATGAGAATTTTTTATCTATCAATTTGTTGATTTACAATCTGCACTATTGGAGTTTCTCTGTTTTTCTTACATGTTCATATATCTACTACCGAATTAAGACACCTCCAACATAAGAAGACCCAGCTACCTATTGGACTCTCTCTATACTCCAGTATTTCTACAGGTTTTATTAAAGACTTTTTAGTACTGGGATCATTTTTCCTGTTTATTTATATATTTGTCTCATCCCATTTACTCTTACACCTACTACCATATAGCGCAACCTATATATTTTCTTTTGTTCGTCCATTTATTTGAGGAAAAGAGAGGGAACCTCATTATTATAGGTTGCTGCTTCCCCATTTGTTTTTTAGATTCTACTGACTTTTTAGCGCTGACCCATTACTTTGCTATTACTTATGTTATATACTAAAAAGGGGGTTGCGTTTCAGCCTGGATTGTCCTTTGTAATATTTAAACTATGTGCTAAAAAATGAATCCGCACATGACATATCTTTTTGCCTCCGTGAAAAAATATAAGCTGTAAAAAAAGTATTAACATTTTGTATTATTACAGTATAGAAGATAAAAAAACTCACTCATAATTATATTCCAGCTTTCACGTGTGTTCCCACCTAACCGATACTTTAAGAGAACATAGCAGGCCTGTGCAGTTGGAGAGCTTCTCTTTCTGCTCCTCTGGTGAGTGTTCTCACGAGTCCCTCCTGTCAGAGCATTGCCTTGGATTACCTCTGACGCATCCCCTGCCAAGGGTCTGAGTCTGGGCACATGGCAGAGGACCAAGCAAGAGATTGTGCTGTGCCACCGTACCAACAGGGAATATTAATAACATTAATCAAAACTGCTCTTATCTCACCTTCCACAACACCTCTATCACGGCCCACACATTCACACACACAAACACACACACACACTGTATTCACTATAGACACGCACACAGCATCCATGATACATACACTGTATCCACAACACGCACACCACATCCATTATACACACACTACACACACACTACATCCACTATACGCACACTATATCCCTTAAACACACTGCATTTCCTAAACAAACACATTACATGAATGTAAGAAGGCATTCCAATACTTCTGCTCAGTGGTGTATTTTAGATTTGTGCTGCCCTAGGCACAACCAAATCCGGGCACCACCAAAATCTAAATTCCCTCCCCCCCAATTCGTGTCAAGGCCATTTTTTTGACTGACAGACAAATGCCCTCATTGATACATGCACTGATATACACTCACTGACAGATACACAGTCATTGACACACACATACAGTCATTGGCACACACTGTTTAACCAACACACACTTTTACTGACAGACACACACTGACACACCCACTCACTGACAGGCACACACTCTCAGATACACATAAAATGACATACACACACTGACACACACTCACAGGCACACCCATTCTCACTCACAGACATACACTGACAGCTACACTCACTCACAGTAAAGTGGACAGCCCCAGAACACGAGGCAAATAAGGCATTTGTCTGGGAGCTTGGGGTGGCATTTTTTGGCGCCCCCCCGAAAGTGCCGCCCTAGGCAAATGTCTTGTTTGCCTTGTGGAAAATACATCCCTGCTTCTGCTCCCATAACAACTTAAATAACCTTAAGCTGAGATGGGTCGGGAGGGTTTCATTAAATAGACTCTGCATGCACATGCATTCAGAGGACTGGATTGAGTGAAGACATATTCACATTCTCCATATATTAAATTTAGGGCAATATTCTTTAGACACATGTTAAAGCTCCAACAGGGTAACAAAATATTCCCACTTTAGCACAGGCGAGTTGGCCAGCAGTACTCACATTTTCGATAAGTAACCTATGCACAGTGCACAGTGAGGCCAATAGGTTTTTTTTTTAGATTAGGATTAAAAAATATTGGTTTAGGTAAAATCAACATCTGATTCAGAGAAGGGGTTAATTCTTTCTGTAGAAAATATTCTATTTTTAAAAATAATAACATTAATAATAATAATAATGTCAGTTTTTGTTTTATTAACAATTAAACTAAACTGTGCTATTTTTATCTACCTTGTGTTTCTCCATATGGTACAGAGGAATCATCAAACATATGTACAGATTGAATGTATTGTAAATATACTTTGAAGCAGAATAATGTAAATGTTGCATGTCACTTTCTCTGTAATCACCAAGTTAATGTTACCATCCTACTATATATTTATGAATTTACTTCCACCTGCTTTAAGTGCATTTCAGAAAGTGGATGAGGGGCATTACAAACAAAATGGTAATTGCAAAGTGCAAGTTTACATGAAATCTCTCAAGTACTTAATCCTCTGTTTTAAATCGTTGTTATAGCATCAATAATTGTTTTACATTATATGTTGTCAATGTTAAAGATAATTTATCATCTCCAAACCTTTTTATTACTATTATATGCATTTTTAAAACAATATAAAGATGTGTTTTTAGTTTGTTTGCTTTTTTTAATCAAGGAACATAAATGTTAGGTATGGTTTTCTTTAGCAGAGCCATGTTCACGTTCTATGATCTCAGCCAATCCAATGATTTCCCATAGGAAATGGTATGCTGCACCAATCAGCATCTCCTTATAGAGATGCATTGAATCAATGCATTTCTATGAGGAGCGTTCAGCATCTTAATGCAGAGCCTGAGTGCCTTCCACTAGAGGTGTTCCTAGGCAATAATGAAAACATTGCCTTTTTTCTCAAAAGGCAGTGTTTCATTAAAAAGCCTGCAGGGACATACTATATACACCAGAACAACTACACTAAAGTAGTTGTTCTGATTACTACAGTGTCCCTTTAATAACAAATAGACATGTGTAATTTGTTTATTTCGGGAAATTCGGACATTCGAATGTCCGAAGTGCCGAATTGCAGAATTTCCAAAGTTCCGAACCAAATTGCCGAAGTGCCGAATTTTGGAAGTGCCGAAGTGCATTGGATTTCTGAACAGTGGCAAAACAAGAGAGGGAGGGAAAATTACATGAATGATAACAGGGATAGGGTTAGGATTAGGGAGCCCTACAGATGTTCTGAATTCCGAAGTTCCGAATTGCCAAAGTCCCAAATTGCTGAAATCCCGTATTTCAAAAGTGCTGAACTGAATTGCCAAAGTGCCGAAATGTCAAACTGCAGAATTTCCGAACCGAACCAAGTTTTTTGCCAATGCACATCCCTTATAACAAACCTTTATAATTGCCATGGTTTTTCTTTTATAATTATACCCCTTTTTACTAAAATTTTTATCATTCCAAGTCAGTAATTTCCATAATCTTACAAAGAAAAGGAGCATAAAAGCTTTTCATCAACTACACACTAAATACAGTGGTGAGAAAATGTTTGCAGTCCCTTCAGAAGTATCTGTATTCCTACAGTGATTTTACCTAAAATCCATAGTAATAATGGAGAACAAAGGAGAATCAGATTACAAAACATTTATCCTTTTTTCATGTCTTTAACTCATCAATCTAATATCAGCTCTTACATCAGTGATTTCAAGCAAACTTGAATTTGTTTATAATGATGCACATGGATGTGTTAAAATGTTAAAATCACCGGGGTTTTTTGGCAGTCTCACACGACAATACTTCGGGTCACAGGTCAGTGTTACAACACTCAAATTCTTTGGTAGACATCCAAACTACTTTAGTTATACTAAAAGGTGTTTGCATTAACTGCTAATTGTTCATCTCATAAATCTTGGAAATATGTGACAACCTATTTATTATTTTTGAAAACATTTTCTGTTGGTTTGCCAAAAAAAGAGGGGGGGGGGAGATGAACGTGGGGAAAAATATCACAAATATACCAAGCAAGGTATAACCAAACAAATGATATACAATGGAGCTGGTCCCTTTTATTGGTCACCAAGAGAGACCAGGCAATGTTTCGACATTACTTCAGACTTCGTCATGCAATAGAGAAGGTTTAAAAAAGACCCGTGCAGGGTCAGAATGTTGCTGGGTGATGTAGTATAGTCATAGTATTTTGACTAAAAAGCCATTTTAGTTTTAGTCGTATTTTGCTCATCTGAATTGTTTTAGTTTTAGTCAACTAAATCTTGACTAAAATTTGACAGCTCACAATACACAATTTTTTGGTTTTTGTTAAATATCAAAAGGTCAGGCTGAATTAGGAAGAAAAATATAAATGTGAGTAAGAACACTGCATGTATTACTTAACCACCCTAAGTTGGGCAGAGGTGATATGAGGCTATGAGTGCTATCCCTGTGATGTTTGTCACACTATCTCTATTTGGTTTGGCATAAAAATTGAAGATTCTGTAACACACAACACTAACCCTTTCTACTTTCTCATAATGAAGACATTCATTTATTTATTATGATGTCCTAATCTGTGAAGCTAGGCTTTTATCTTGGTCAAACTGCGAAGAGTGAAAAGTGAAGAGTCTGCACCCATTGTTACTACAATAACATGTAGTGGTTACAATGCGTGTAGTGTCTCTTTAAATGTAAAGTTGGCGTAATAGAATTACACAAAAGCCGTATCAGCTTGATAGGAGTAGCATTTCACTGCTGAGATTTCCTTTCATTCTCTCACCAATCTTTCTCAGTTTCACCCGTCATTTTCAGTCAACATGTTTTGGTCAATAAACCCAATCCCATTTATCCCACCAGAACAAAATCATCAATCCCCAGAAAGCAGTCTAGAAACAACTGTTGGGAAATAATAGCATGAAAATCCACACATATATCAATTATAGACAGTGAAGTTTACAGCTTCCTACAAAAAACTCAGTTTGAATTGAAATACCTTCAATGTCATTTTCTTCTGGGCTATATTCCAAGTTTCTTATTTCCACTATTTTTGTCCTTTAAATCAGCTGTCAAATGAGATCATTTTTATAATTTAGTAACAAAGCTTCACCCTCTTCAACAGAGAAATCAGAAACG